CTGTTTGAGAGAAGAACTCTAAATTTGCAGGGTTTGTGTGTTAAACGTGTGAGTGAAAACACAACTCCAGGTATGTTTTTGATGAGAAAACAACATTATAACAGAGATGAGAAAATGGTGTACTATTTTCTTGTGCATGGGAGTCATCTTACTACCAGCGAAGGAGTCAAATCATATTCCAGTTTTGTCCATTCTCTGGAGCCAATGCTATTTTCTATCATGAACAACTGCTCCTTACGTCTATTTCAGCTCATGCGTTTGATGAACGGCCTGTCTGAATACATTGATCTGAACAACAGATTGTGTTTTTCTGTCAGGACTATTAAGGTAATAACATCCTCTTTCAAATGGTCCTTATACTGAAGTAATGCAGTGAATGTGGCGCTTACTGTATAGAACAGATGTGAAATAGTGCCTAAGAGGATCCACTCCTTCCTTGTGAAGACAGCAGAAAGTTAAGATGAATATACTTATTAAACACTGACTGTAAAGCGTTAATAAACACACTTTTACCTGCTGTACAAGTGCTACAGTGGTATTTTTCATATAAGCTGTTATGTTGTTCCTTTCAATTAAGTGCAGTTTTCATTTGGATGCCATCAGTTTCCATCAGCCGTTAACACCACATCGGAAACCTGAGAGACAAAGCCTCAGCCATGTTTTAATAAGATGCAGACAATCCAGAAGGATCTTTATAGTAAATGCCACAACTCATTAGGCTAATTACCCTATCACACATTTACTCGCTGCTATTAACAAAGTAGGCAGAGGGAGAGAGAGAGGAAAACCACACATCTCCACATAAAGTTGGCATTCCAGCAATTAGTGAAAAACATTAAAGCCCACACAGACTTCCTGAGCAAAATAATTAAAGAAAAATGGCGGAGATGCTTCTTCTGGCGCTTTCTCTTTTCAAAGTGCGGCCCCCGAACGCGGCGAGGCGGCACCGCTACATCAGACTCGGGTTAAACTAAGAGTCTATTTGTGTCTTTTTGCACCATCCCACTCACTGTGGGACGCACTGACTTGTGAAGTCAAATTTAATTGCATTTACAACAAGGTAACAAGGTGTGTTTAGTCATTAGCTCCTAGCACGGGTAAAAATAATTCCAAAAAGTCAGGCCTGCTGGAGCCTCCCCTGGATACAGAGAGTACAGATTGCACTTAGCAGTGACAATAATGATGTTTTAACAGCACATGCTGACGAGCCCTGTGCTCACTGCTGCTGCTCAGCACAGGCTCTAATTGGTCACATTACACATTCAATTTTATCTTTAACAATGTTTACCGTACAATAGAAGGAAGGTTGTGCTCATTTGTCAAAACAACTCTACTCTGATACAGAATATGCTATAGTGTAAAAACACAGGTTTAACACAACTACAAGTCCCATCAATTAACATTCATATGACAGAATATTAAGATCAGTACTACCTCAAAATGCTCAACTATCTTTGAAATACAAACTAAGATTATGTTGTCCGCATCAACATCTCTGAACATAGTAGAATGTTTTTATCTTGTATCAAAAAATAATTCACATGAACAAGTACGATTAAAACTATAGATGAAATAACAAGAAACTTTAATGTGGCCCAGTTTTTCTCAAACACAGGTCCAATCTGATCACACAGAGGAAACAGAACAGACCGCTCTCATCAAAGCCTCCGTGTCTCTGAGGAGTGACAGAGGCCTTTACAGCAGAGCCCTGGGCCCGAGGCGGGGGTCTGTCTCCTCACACACAGAGAGAGAGGAGACCACACAGGGCCCCCACAAACAGGGCCCCTCTGACTGTCAGGTGAAAAGGTCTGAACAGGACAGAGGCAGGTGCTGTACGGTAGTGCTGCAAGAGTAATCACAACCGAAATCGCAATGTGAACGCAATTAGCAAAAAATAAAGTACTACAATTTCCTCTACAAACAACAAAACATCCTGTAAAAACTGCTAACCCTGTAGTTTAGATCTGTACAAACATCTGAAATATATTTCTTGTGTTAGTTTGTCAGTTCATATTTTAATTTCAGTCTTATTGTAAATTCTTCTGCACGTGTTTAAAATGTGAACTTTGGACAGAATTGTATTATTAAAACGTGAATTGCTAATCTAAATGCAATCACAATTAAATATTTTTACTACTGTACAGGTCTAACCCAAGAGAAAGACAGGTGCTATAGACTGAGGATCTTGTTAGTGATTTGGTGAGCTGCCTACACCAGAGTTGGCCCAGCTCGATTAAAAATGTCTGTATTTTGAATAATTTACTTCATAAATAGATAATACAAGCTCATTATAAGGAGCATCAATATTCTAGTGATAAGCTGAAGGCGGTGAGCTTTTCTGCCTTTACTGGTGTTTTTGGGTTGTGCCCGGTGGTGTTTTCTCTGCCTGTTTTCACACAGAACAGGGAGCTGCCTCACAGTCAGTGCACGGCAAATACAGCAGAGCATTTGGAACTCATGTGTGAAGACTAAAGCACTACGAACCTCCACAAACAAAAGTGACAACACGCACAAAAGATGCTACGCTTTATATGAGCTGACAACACCAGTGGGGAATGAATACAGAGAAAATCTGTCTTTTACCCAACTAGTTTGAGAAACTCGGAGATGCTTTAACGGGAAGACCGAAAATGTGTCCAGAAAAGTTTACCTAGCCAGCCAGAAACACACGCTTTGACAAAGCTTTACAAAGATGAGTGGGTCTGGAGCTGTATTATGTCTCCCTGATTTCAGAGGGTGTGATTGACAGGCAGATTAACCAGTCAGAGAGATGCATGCTCTGTTAGCATCAAAACAAACATGGCTGCTTAAACGTAAAAAAAGAGAAACATAAAGGAATGAGAAACAGCGCAGATTTTCTCAGAATCAACAATCATTGCACTGATCTATTTCTTATCTCAAGCAAATTAATTATATATTTTATTTTGAATGTTATGAGAATTTTCAGTAGAAAATGTCTTTGGCATGTGAGAGACACGTGATATAATTAGCAGCTGTGGTTGGATCATCTCAAGTTTGGACAGAGGTTTTTCATGCTCTATTGTCCGATTCCTGACCCTTCTGGATTCAAACAGAATGTAGACAGATTGGTCAGGCAACGATGAAACTATGACAGTCCATTCATATAATAATAACAATAATAAACATCAGCACTTTTCTCAGGACTCAAAATTCCTTTTCATTCTGGCGTGCCCGTCCATCTCAAACTCATTCACACAAACTTTGGTGACACCCTCAGTACTGTTACAACAGGATTTAACCAATTCTCTGCTTTTGGCACACGGCAGTAAATAAAACAGCTGTTTAACTCTTTAAAGGTGCACTGTGCTTTTTGGTTGGGGGTCCGTCACGGATATGTCACTGCTCTGTCTGCTCTGTCTGCTCTGTCTGGAATGTTCCTCACCTCTCCACATATCTGACCTGTAACTTTGTCTGGTTTGGTCTCCATGAAGACAGATTTAATACCATACTGTGAAACATTCCAGACAAACCAATAACATCTCCATGAAGAAAAGCATTTGAAGGACGCTCGACCACAAAAGTTACACAATGCACCTTTAGATTGTGTAGATTCATCTGTCATGTGGAGTCTGCTTACCTTTGAAAATTACTGTTGGCGTGAAAGAGAAATACATTATATTTTACATAAAACAGGAACAAACAGATGCATGTAAAGTAAAAAAAATATATACGTGAGGCCTGTCACGATAATGACTATATCGACTTATCGTTCAGTAGATTTGTTAGAACAATATTTTATGGGGGTCGACACTTATTTCTTTGTACTGCTGGGTTATTTTTAGGCTACAGGATGAGATTTGAGTTTAATTAATAACTAGACCCATTACAGATGCAAACTAAGTACTAAAGTGTTTCATTCTGTTGCTTATTTATTGCAGTTCATGTTTTTTTTTTTAACAATATTGCAGATTTAGAATAGTTTTTGTGTTTTAAATCTGCTCTTGGCTTTTTAAGTCAGTGGCATAAATTAGTTTCAGTATTATAATGTATAGTTTTTTTAAATAAATTGCACATTAAAAATGTGTTATCATGTCAGACCTAAAATCTAAAGGTTTAAGTTTTCTCTTTTTCTTTATTAATACTTTTATTTATTCCTCAAATTGTGCACTATGAAACTTTTTGGTTGGGGGTCCGTCACATGTTCATTTCTATGGATATGTCATTGCATCTCCGCAGTAGTAGTACTAGTAGCAGCAGTAGTAGTTTATTCGGTCTTTGTGTAGCAAAGCGTAGACTACAACCTCATAAATCATGACCGAAAGGGTTTAGGCTGAAGTAAAAAGACTTATAATGCCTAAACCTATTAAACAATGACAGTATTCCAAAAAAGAAAAGCAGCATGAACAGCAAGTTTGCATTTACAATTTCACTTGCAACTTACTGGATAAGAGACAAAATATAAATTAAAACAGAACAGAGAAAGGCATTTGACGGACCCTCCATCAGAAGAGTTACACAATGTTCCTTTAGATTTTAATAACTGTCTCTGCGCTGTTCAGACCCATTTGGCTCTGTTGGAGACTTATAGAATGGTGATTTCAAAGTTACTTTAGCTAATTCAGAGAAGAGGAAATGGATGGTGCTTGTGTCGTGCTTTGATGAGAGAAAGCATTCAGGAAGGTGCTGTGCGTATGTTTAAGTGTTGCTAAGTGAAAAATGAAGGAGCCATGTTTGAGAGCACATTTGAAAAGCCTTGACTGTATGCCACGCTTAGTTTAAAAGAACGCCATAAAAATAACTCAGGCCTCGGGGCCATCTCAGCCTTCATCAGGGAATAGCAATCAATTTACTGCAATTTCTTTAGCGCAGTATGTGGCAAAGAGAAAGGACTGTGTTTTTTTTTCTTGTCTTCAAAGAAAATGGACATAAAGGCAGTACCAATCGTGTACAGAGCCAATTAGCCACATGTTTACACAGCCCTGATCGACAGTGTCCTTATGGAGGCTCGCACATGGCTCTTTCACATACACTAAACCCACCTGTAAACAGCTCTTTTGTCGGACTCCAGCTGGGCCTGGGGGTCAAGGGTCACGCTGACCGAGGTGTTTCCTGCTGCAGAGGCTGCTGGGATGTGGACCTGTGGGGTCTTGGTGTTCTGTTGAGTGGTGCCCGTCATCTGAGGAGAGAGAAGGAAAAATTACAATACTTTAAACTGGCAATATTATTGTTGAGTCTGAAAGATGATCAGTGATTAGGGATGTAACGATATCCAAATCTCTCAGTACAATATTATCATGATATGAATCTCACGGTACGATATTTATTGCGATATTTTTGAGAGGCTGATATAGCTGTAGATGGGACACTTTTTTGCTTTAACAATACCATAACAAGATTTTGGTGTGAATTATTTCCATCATAATCTGAAGAATTCAAGTGTTGTTTACACTTCATCCTTGTACAAGTCTTCGTTATTGTGAATATGCATTTGCAGCTTCCGGACCTATGTTGCAGACTGACCGACTGTTTGACTCTCGCTCCTTCTGAGTGCAGACAGCTACATGTTACGACACCCCTGTTTGTCACGCTACGATCACAGCATTAATCCTACATTCAGTTTGTAGATTAAAATTTTACAGTAATCGATGAAATTCTTAATGATCAATTATCAATTAATCGACTAATCATGCCCATCCCTATTGAGTATACAAAAAAAACCAAAAACAGGCAAACATAATTTAAGACTTTTTAAGACTTCTAAGACCCTGCGGCAACCCTGTGTTACATCCCTATCAGTGATGTTTAGATTGCATTTAATTATATTATTCTGAAAAAAAAAAAAAAAAAAAGTCACACATCATACTTATTCTTGAGTTATATTAATTTCAAGTATCAGTAATCATGTATTAATCTAGTAATGGCAAATGATCACATTTTCATATAGCGCTTTTCCGCCTTCAAGGCACTCAAAGCTCTTTACATCAAGGAACCACTCACACGCACATTCATACACCAATATATGCAGACACTTGGGGGTGAATTAGGTTAAGTGTCTTGCCCAAGGACTCAAGGGCAGTATTCCTCTGTGGGAGCTGGTCAGATCGGGCTCCCCTACCAATCAAACTTATGTCGAGAGCATTTGAAACACCAACTGAGCCACCGTTTGTTTTGTTTATTTGTTATTTATTCAAGAAATACCAGATTTTTCACGTTTTCAGCATCTTTTCAAACATCCGTCAGATTAATTGTTACATGTACTTGAGTATTAAGTGTAATCTTTAATCAAATTATCATTTCAAAGCAACATTGCACTTGCATGATTAAATACTTTACCTATTTTACCAACCTGTGTGTCTTTCACATGTAATATAACAGTTACCAGTTTAACAGGCATTTGTTGTGTATAGATTGAGAGGAGATGGAGAGACTGAGCAGGTGCACAGACTGAATGTTTGCCATGAATCAGTGTTATTCGACAGGTCAGTATATTTTTAAATGAAGCTGAGGAGCTGTGAAGTGACTGTCTAAATAGGAGACGTATACTATAATTCATGCGAACAACCAACCACGGCTGTAAAATTTGTAATCTTAGGCACATTAGAATGGCAAAACTGCAATTACTTCAACAGCATTATATCTTCTGAAAAAAATAATCCAATATTAATTATACCTGACATGTTAATTAAAGGTGTACTGTGTAACTTTTCTGGTGGATGTCGCTATCTGTCTTGTCTCCATGGCGATGCTATTGCTTTGCTTGGAATGTCCAGTATTCAGTATGTTTTTATGTCCACAGAGTCAAGATACAGTCTACCAGCAGAATGTGCAGGTCAGATCTGTGGAGAGATGACCCCTTTCACAAGAGGAATACATTATTTTGTAAGGTTAAGGTATTTTATCTGCATCAACATCATCTGATTGAATGAATACACAAAGTTTAAAGGTTATATTGTACAAAATTGACTTGTGAGCTTTAAGCCTTGCTATAATGCTGTTACTTCATCAAAAAAAAATATCTGAGTTGTGTTTTGTTTTGTTTCATTCACACATGTTTGAGTAATGCTTTATTATTAGTCTGTCTACATCTCCACAGCTCAAAATGCTCTGTTCTACCTATAGACCGTATATATAAGTGGACAGATCTAACGCACTAGCCGCCACGTGCCAAATAGAAAGTTTGCCATGAGGCTCTTCTGGCTCCTTCTGACACTGGCTCCAATTGACTTACATTAGGATCTTGTGGCTCCTCTCTCTGTGACTGCTGGGTCAGCCTTGTCATTTTGGTCTTAAAATGTTCATATTAATCCGCTCTACATGATCCTGAATTAATTTTTTTTCTCGCTATTTTGTCCGTCAAAAAAATCTTATTCATAATATAGAGACTCCAGATTCGCTCCTGTAACCGTTTGAGCGGCGCTGAACACGATGGGTGACGTTGCTTAGTCTACTTCTTTCATACAGTCTGTAGTTCCACCTTGTGATGTCACGAAGCAATAGTTAACTTAAGTTTTATCCAAATGATTCTAGTGAATGTGTATGGAGTTTAAAAACGCAAAAGGAGCACCACGTGACATCATGGCGTGGAACGTGAGCCAAAATCCGCTAAAATATGCAGAGTTTGTGTGTTAAACATGTGTGAATGAGCCAAAATGCAACTCTAGGAATGTTTGTGATGAAGGAACAACATATTGTCATAGATCACAATAAAAGCGCAGTACGGGCCCTTTAATGTCATATTGGGGAGCATTCCAGGTAAAACAACATCTCCATGGAAACCAGCATGTCTGCAGTGCACCTTTGAGTACATAAATACATAAATCTAAAGGCAGTACTGGTCAGATAAACCTATAAAATAATGTAGAAGTCTCATAGTTTTTCATATTGTGAGGCTTTAACTCTGCACTGTGTTGTCTTCTCCATTCACCCCAATTTTCCTGTCTCCTCTGTTCCCTCTTAGGAAATGAGTCTAACAACCCCCATCGCCTTTTGGATGGGGTGGGGTCTGGAGGAAGCTTCAAGTCTTAATCCCAGCTCCAAATGGGAAATAAATTAGCTTCTTCACACTTAACTAGCTCTCATTTGCATTTGCGCGGGCTGCATCTCGGGAGCTCTCCCCTGGCACTAATCCTCGGGGCGTAAGGATACAGAGGTGGTGCGGTCCGGGGAGGAAGCGGAGGATGGTCTACTTCCCATCCGTGCAGTGGTCCGCGGGTTAGACAAAGAGGGCTGTCCTGTGGCATCAGCGCTGACGAATGAAAAGAGCTCGGCCAGCGTGTGTGTGGATGGATGCTTAAGTCTTTGACAGACAGACCGACCCGTGTAACTGGTTTGGAGTGTGGAGAACTCACCTGCAGAAATGTGTTAGAAGTACTTTTTTTTTTCTTTTAGTCTGTGTTAATGTGGCAATTTTAATTATTTAAACTCTTTCTCCAAATTATCAGTACTGTTTTATCCAATGTCTTCCTTATTGTTTATTTAATACAAAAAAAAACAATAATAAATCTGAACAATAAAAAAAAAAAAAAATCATCATTAAATCTGTTTTCTTTTTTGGTCAAATTGTGAGTAATCCTTCAATCGTTGTGATGTTATGAAGCTCTCCAGTTTAAAACACAGTGAAGCACTTCCTGTATGCATGACATCACAAGATGCAACAGACTTTTTTCAGTTTGAGAGAAGAACTCAGCCTAAATATGAAGGATTTGTGTGTTAAACATGTGTGAATCAAACAAAACTCAACTCCGGGTATGTTTTTGATAAGGAAACAATATTATAACATAGATCATAAAATAATGTAACATAGATCATTCAAGGAGGTACAAAGCAGTGGGTGGGGATAGTAGGTAGGTGAAAAAAAACTATTTTCTGAGCCCTTAACCCTCAGATGCAGGACAGAATTACTCAAACAGGCACACATCAATCAAAACACAACTCTGAGAAAGATAATGATGATGGAACACTGTTATAACATGATTAAAAGTTCTAGTTTACATACTGTACATAGGAGCAGTTTACATTTCTTGAAAGTATCACTATATCAAGTAAAAAGTCGAGGGTGCAAATAATGATGTAGTGCCGATCCAGGAAAATTTGCTGTAATGGTTCAATGATATCTGTTATGTCAATATCCTAGTTTTAGTACTGACTGATGTTCGCCCAGAACTTCTCATCATGTTTGAAATCACTAGTTACTTGCAGAATACAGAACTGTTACATAACACAATCAGATACATAAATTAATTGTGTTTTGAGAGAAGAAAAATGCAATTTCCAGTCCCTACACTGGTATTGGTTAATATCAGATATCGGCAGATACTTAAAGACATAGAATCAATACTGGGATCAGCTGAACTGAACAACCTGAATCGGTGCATAAGTGTAAAAACATCTCAGATGTGAACAATTAAAGGTTCTATATTACTCAGAATAGACAGAGTTTTAAATCACGTAGAACAGGGGTGTCAAACTCAAATTCACAGAGGGCCAAAACTAAAAACTTGGATTAAGTCGTGGGTCAAACTAAATATTTACTCGAAAAATTTCAACAACTTCTGCAGTTTTCTCTTCTTTCGAGATATTTAATGATAAACCTTTTCTTATTAAAATAAATTTTTAATAATAGTTTTGCTTAAACACTGAATTCAGAACAAGCATAATATAAAATAATAACAACATTTTAAATAAATAATATCTCTATAGTCCATCTGTAGCCAGCGGGCAGCTCTAATACATATTTGATATGATCTTGTGGGCCAAATTTGGCCCCTGGGCCTGAGTCTGACAAGTCTGTGTTAGAATGTTGTTTCTTCATCAAAAACATATCTGGAGTTGTGTTTTGTTTCATTCGCACATGTTAATCATTAAATTATTATTAGTCTGTGTAGAGCGCCAAAGCTCAAAATGCTCTGTTCCACCTTGTGATGTCATGTAGCGGTAGTTTTCAAATTAACAGCTTCTTTTACCTTTAGTTCAGAAGAGATTGGAAATTCTAGGGTTGAAATCATCCAAATGATTCTAATGAAGGTGTATGAAGGTTAAAAACACAGTCGATCATGTCCAGTACCACATGACATCACAAGGTGGAACAAGGTGGAGTACTTTCTGTTTGAGAAGTGCACGTTTGTGTGTTAAACAAGAGTGAATGAAACAAAACACAAATCCGGGAATGTTTTTGAT